CGAAGGTAAAAAAGAACTTGATTTTCAGGCCAGGATAAGAATATTATTAAAAAAAATAGTATTGTCACTTTTTGTTGCTATCGACCTAAATATTAGTAGTTGTAGCCTTTTAGAGCTCTCAATATGTGTAACAAAGTACTCAATTTTCAGGTAAATACAAAAATATTAATAACAAAAAGAAATATTGTGACATTTTATTGTATCGACATGAATATTAGTAACCGTAGAGTTATAGAGCTCTTAATTCGTATAAAAATAATCACTCAGAGGGACAAAAAGAAAAGTATTTTAACGCGGTATAACATATTCTAAAAAAATGCAAAATAGTAGCTACTTTTTTTGTATTTGACACCATATTTCACAATTTAAAATTTAAATTTCTTCACTTGTATATTAAACAGTCCATCCTGAGGTATAAAAAGTACTAAATTATGAGTCAAGTACAAGAATATTAAGAAAAAAAAAGTGTCACTTTTTATCGTTATCGACATAAATAATAATAACCATAGATTTAAAGAGCTCTCAATTTGTGTAAAAATAGTCATCTTTATGGACAAAAAGAAAAGAAAAACATTCTAATGCTGGTATATAATATTTTATCAAATTTGAAAATATAGGGACCTTTCTTTGTTTGAGACGACATATTTGGCAACTTTAAACTTAAACTACTTTACATTTATGTCAAACAATCCAACCTGATGTTTAAAAAGTACACAAATATCAGGAAAGTACACGAATATAAACTAAAAAAAAAAAAGAAATAATGTCATTTTTTATTGTGATTCGACATAATAATAATAGGTAACCGTAGACTTGAAGAGCTCTTTATTTGTGTTAAATGAATCATCCGTCAGGACAAAAAAAAAGAATTTTAATGCAGCATATAGTAGTCAAACAAAATGAAAAATATTGGTACCTTTTTATTAATGCGACAACATATTTTGCAATTTTGAACTTTTATGTCAAACAATCCATCCTGAGGTATAAAGTAATCAATTATTAGGCAACAACATGTATTCCTCAATCGGGGCAATATGCGCAATTGTTTCTTTGTAGGTGGTTATGGTAACGTTTTCTTCTGTGGCTCAGTCTATATCGTAAACTTGGTTATGTATGATGGCTCGTTTCGAAGCTGAGACATTTTCATATACATTGTGTATGTGGTTAAATTTTCGGGGTACGAAGTGAGATTACTTTTTTCGTAAATTAGCATAACCGGAAAATCGTTTCGTGATACGACTCCTCGTTGTAGAAAATCCCTTTTTTAACACATTACGTTCTTTTAAAATTTCAAACTTTGAACATTTAATAACTCCATTGTTTTTGCATATTTATTCTATGTTCCTCTTCTTTCCAAATCAGCACAAATGGTTAAGATTAGACACTTGTTGAAAAAAGAAACCTTTCTAATTACACTACACAGAGATTTTTTGTTTACACACAATTTGTGAGTTCCTCATTTTGAGGTGCATTAGGGATATTGACCCAATTTCGATTCTGAAGCATAAAACAGAATTCATCACTGGAACTTATTTGAAGAATAAAACACATATTTCCGTTTAAAAATCATCTTAAAGATGTTCAAGAAAAAAAAATGGAATATGCATTAATCGCTGTGTTGTTTTTTAACAGTCATGGGCGTTATTTGAACAAGTCATGTTTTAGTTACTTTTATGGACAAGTTTTATTTTTGAAAATTAATTAATTACTCGATAGATCTATTTTAAATTTCCCCCAAAAAAGACTGAATATAGTTGTCATGCATTTTTACATCATTTGTTTTTTCATAACTTTTTTAAATGAGAATTGAGAGGAGTATAGGGATAAACAATTATATTAAGAATAAAGACAAAATATTAAATGCATTAGTTACTTTATAGATATTAGAAAGAAGTAGTCTTTAGAATAATTTTAATGAAAATATGTACGTGTTTTAGGTTATAAATTATACATAATTTCAAATCTTAATTTAATATAACTCTGTATCTGTCTACTTCACGATTTTCAAGGTAAATGATATTTTCAAATTCCCAAGAGATCAATATTTGTCCCAGAAGCATCGATTTGAAAGATTAGTGAGTTATCAATCAATTAAGAGTTTCAAGATAATTAGGGTTTTTTTATAATTCGTCGGAGAATATTTTAAGCAGAAGACAGTGAAAATGTGTAAAAGCTGGTAAATTCTGTATGAATGGACATCTATGAAAGATATTTACAAAACAAATTGTTATCAGTGAAAATTGAAAAAGCTTCGTTTTTATTGGTTTTAGTGTTGAATTTTGCCATTTCCTGAAGGACTTCCCTTAAAGATTTCCTCGGAGTTTGGTATTTTTATTATTTTATTTGTTTCAATATTTCTTGTACTGGTGTTTCAAAAGGAAACTTGGATTGCTATAAAACAAACTAAATGATACCGTCATTGTAGGTAGACCAAAGGTCGTTATTGTACTCTGTATCTCTAACATATCTTTAAAGTCTTTTAAACATATCTTTAAAGTCCAGATAGCAATTTGCATGAATACCTTCTTTAAACATTGCTTACGATATATGTGACTGAAAGGCATTTTCCCTATGTGCAGTTATCAAGTAATATCCAATGAGAATTTTGAAGACCTTCTGTTTGACAATAGTACTATAATGTATCAAATCTTAATTTGGAACGCATATGAATTAGAATCTAAAAAACTTTTCTAAAGAAGATTTGATTTGATTTTTGATATTTGGGGTTTTAACGCCACTTTTAAGCACCGCTTTTGGGCTTTTTCGTGGCGGCCAGTTTTTATTGGTGGAAGAAGCCGGAGTGCTCGGAGAAAACCAACGACCTTCGATAGGAAAACTGACAATCCTAGTCAATTAAGATTTGAGTCGAGTGCACCCGCACGGACGGGGTTCGAACTCACAACCTCAGTGTTGACTGGCTAATGATTACAGTAGTAACTACTTAGACCACTCGGCCACCGAGGCCCCTTCTACAGAAAACAAATCATAGCATTAGATAGAGGGAAATAACATATTAAAACAAGGCAAAACATCTGCGAAATAGATGTAAAGCAAAACATCTTTATCTATGGTTCTTTTATGTTTTAATGTACTGAAACACATGCGATGTTAATACCGATACAAACCATATGAAAATATCTGTATATCTATTAATGATATGTTTATCCATAGGAACAATGAATTTTCGTATGTAGTTGTTATAAACCATACCTTTGTAAAAAGATTAAATATATGACAAAGATTCAGCCTCAACAAATCTATAAATTTCAATTAAACATCTATGAGCAAAACATATTTTTGGATAAAGATTTGATTAATATGTACTAACAGACAAAAGGATATCACATAATCAATGTTTAGAATGAAATCAACGTTCAAACCTGTGATTGCGGTGGGTAAAAACCGCAATGTCTATACTGCATGCAAAAACAAAAATCTTGGTAGAGGGTTCTAAATACAGCAAAAGCAACATTTTCCAAAATACAAAAAAATTGAAGATGTATATTTTAACAAAACGCATTTGACTAACAGGTCGAACAACACATGTCCTTAAACCATGCTGACTGCCATTGGCGATTGCCAAATACACGGATCAACAAAATGGATCTTAATTATTGATTTAAAACTAAGCAGAAAACTTGCGAAAAAGATGGTTCACCGCAAACAGAAGGTGCAAATTTTTGTTGAGTACACCATATCCGGATTTCGACAATTAATGTCTCTTCAGTGATGTTAAACGATATTTGGAAGGCCTTACAATTTACCTCAATTTAGGAGAGACTCCTGAATTTTGAGGAGTCGAAATAAGATGAACGGATCATATAAACCCGAAGGCAAATATAATAAAAGCCCTATTGAAAATATAAACCATTAAAAATTGAAAACAACGATCAAACTTATGATTGCGTTAGATAAAAACCGCAATTTTTAAACGTGTGCATGAAAAAAACAAATTTCATGGTAAAGAGGTCTTAACATACATTACAAACAACATTTTCCAAAAGACCAAAAAAGGTGAAGAAGTATATTTTAACAAAACGGGTTTGACTAACAGGAGGTCGAACAACAAATGCCCTTTAACCCTGCTGACTGCCATTCGTGATTGCAAAATAAACAGATAAACAAATGGATCCTTATTTATATAATATATATCTTTCTACAAACGTCAAATGTTAAACACATAAAAGGTTACTGGGTTTTAAACGGACGTTATTGAAGATTTATAATACTGTTTTGAATTACAAATGCCAGGACTTATACGTAATATAACAATCCGTTTTTTTTTTTGGCAAATATTAATCAGTGTAAAAAGACTTCACCATCAATGTTCTTTTAAAACATATAAGTCCCTGCCAATGTTTTAATTTGCAGGAACTAGATAAATCCATTAGATGTAGGTATACCTTAAATAAGTTATCATTCACATAATACACAAATACTATGCTATAAACATGTTAACGTTTATTACATTTGTGCAGTCTGATAATATGTAACTATTTGTCACTTTCTTTACTCCGCCTTAAAACTAAATTATACATGCATATTTCCATCTGTTGATTGTCGTTTTATATTTAAATGTTTTTTTTATTACAATGTTGAACTTTCTATTAGACATTTGTCCCACTGTAATATAAACAACGACTGTTCCGTTTTACATACATGCTGCAAATATATTTTAATCAAACAAAAAGACAAAAAGGGAATATGTCTTTTACCTGTGATGCAGAATCTATGTCACATACAGACAATATATGAAGTATTGTATATAGTCGTTGTCACTGCATGTATGATGCAGTAATAAATATAAATTGATGAATGAATCCTTTTTGAGATCAACATACATATGTGCAGTATGCATAAATGATGATTTGTGAATGAAAACTGATATTGGCTACAGGGTTGAATTATACGCTTAGAAAACCGGAACGTTGGTTAACTTCGTAAAACGGAACAAGTTTCTTACTTGATCCTCCAATATGTTTTTTTCTATTCAGAATGGTCAAACTGCACTACACATTATTTCTACTAGATATATCGAAAAAGAAGATATGGCGAAGTTGTTAATTGACGGTTGTATTAATCTGAACTTACAGGACAAGGTTTGTGGAAGAAATATATACTATTATGTATATTTTACACTATTTCATGTAATGTTGTCATTTTAATGTTATATTTAACATTGCCATAAAAGCGGGAGGTTTGGCTATTCACAAAACCAGGTTAAACCCACCATTTTTTTTTTCTTAAAATGTCCTGTACCAAGTCAGGAAAATGGCCATTGTTATATTATAGTTCGTTTCTGTGTGTGTTACATTTTAATGTTGTGTTTCTGTTGTGTCGTAGTTATCCTCTTATATTTGATGTGTTTCCCTCAGTTTTAGTTTGTAACCCGGATTTGTTTTTTTCTCAATTGATTTATGAATTTCGAACAGCGGTTTACTACTGTTGACTTATCATATCTATATTACAACAAAAGCAATCTTGAAAATATTATAACTGTGGTAGGACCAAAGGTCACTGTTGTCATTTGTGCTTTGTGCAGTTCACATAGTTTTAAAATACAGATTGCAATTTGCATTCATAACATTTTTTAACAGTGCTCACGTTACATGTGACTGCAACAGATCGTGTTAATATTAATTTAAACCACATAATAAATTTACACATATTTACATGAAGATATGTTTTGTAACATATTGTTACCAACACAGTGTGGAGTTATCAATTATTATCTAGTGCAAGGTTTGGAGACCTGCTGTTTGCCAATAGTAGTATAACTTATTAAATCTTAATTTCGAAAACATATGATTTAAAACTTAAAAAATATTTTCGAAAAAGACAAAGCATTCCATTAGATAGAGGAAAACATATAAAACAAGGAAAATAAAGCAACACATGTTTATCTTTGTTTCTTTCATGTTTTAATGTATTGAAACACATGCATCATTGATCGTATTCAAACAACCAGTTTTAAAACATCATTAACAAAACTAAAAATTTGTAATATCTCTTTTTTATTGAATATATCATTTAATCAAACTAATCACTTGATTTTAATTACCAAATATCAGAATTGACGAACAGACACCATTGATGACTTGATTTGTATTCAACTACAACAAATAACAAACTCTGATTTTGTTTGGATGTTGAATTGTCATGGCAACAATTAATCAAAATTCATTCAAACAACAACTGTTACAACAACAATACACAACCGAAATATTTGTCAATCAATAAAATCTTGATGACGATTGAACTAATCACAGTATCACAGCTGGGCGATCTACAACTGGTACTGAAGGGCGGTCCCATTCAGCAATATTTCAGAATTAGTAGCTAGGCTATCCATAGTCTGCATAAAATGAAGTAAATTTCGCTCCGGTTGTGTGACTGTGCTTCAGTATGTTACCATAACGAGTAGTTGTACATGTTGTATGAAGACTCGAGCATCTGAAAAATAAATAAAACCAGCAGCAAACACAGTTCAGTTAATAAGGGTTGAAAAGGATGGGTCTAAATTTTCCAACGTCCTCCTAAAATCTTGATGACGATTGAACTAATCACTGTTTCACAGCTGGGCGATCCAAAGCTGGTGAACTGAAGGACGGTCCCATTCAACAATATTTCAGAATTAGCAGCTAGGCTATCCATAGTCTGCATAAAATGAAGTAAATTTTGCTCCGGTTGTGTGACTGTGCTTCAGCATGTTACCATGACGGATAATTGTATGAAGACTCGAGCATCTGAAAAATAAATAAAACCAGTAGCAAACAAAGTTCAATTTATAAGGGTGGGAGAGGATGGGTCTAGATTTTTCAACGTCCTCTCCGTTTGGTTTTCAAGCTAAAAGTGACCGTTAAATTGCATGGACTTTTACGGCTCAACTCTCACATTCTCAAATTAGCATTACAATAAAAGTAAATGACGACTCGATTTGTCGAGTCTCAGTACACGTATACTATGTTACTTCAATACACGAATTTAATTTTCATTTAATTAAATTATATTATTGAATATATCATTTGATCAAATTATTCACTTGATGTAAATGACCAAATATCAGAATTGACGAACATACACCATTGATGACTTGATTTGTATTTAACTACAACAAATAACTAACACTGATTTTGTTTGGATATTGAATTGCCATGGCAACATTTAATCAAAATTCATTCAAACAACAACCGTACAACAACAGTACACAACCAAAATATTTGTCAATCAATAAAATCTTGATGACGATTGAACTAATCACAGTATCACAGCTTGGCGATCTACAACTGGTACTGAAGGGCGGTCCCATTCAGCAATATTTCAGAATTAGTAGCTAGGCTATCCATAGTCTGCATAAAATGAAGTAAATTTTTGCTCCGGTTGTGTGACTGTGCTTCAGCATGTTACCATAACGAGTAGTTGTACATGTTGTATGAAGACTCGAGCATCTGAAAAAATAAATAAAACCAGCAACAAACACAGTTCAGTTAATAAGGGTTGAAAAGGATGGGTCTAAATTTTCCAACGTCCTCCTAAAATCGTGATGACGATTGAACTAATCACTGTTTCACAGCTGGGCGATCCAAAGCTGGTGAACTGATGGACGGTCCCTTCAGCAATATTTCAGAATTAGCAGCTAGGCTATCTATAGTCTTATAAATGAAGTAAATTTCGCTCCGGTTGTGTGACTGTGCTTCAGCATGTTACCATGACGGATATTTGTATGAAGACTGGAGCATCTGAAAAATAAATAAAACCAGTAGCAAACAAGTTCAATTTATATGGGTGGGAGAGGATGGGTCTAAATTTTTCAACGTCCTCTCCGTTTGGTTTTCAAGCTAAAAGTGACCGTTAAATTGCATGGACTTTTACGGCTCAACTCTTACATCCTCAAATTAGCATTACAATAAGAGTAAAGGACGACTCGATTTGTCGAGTCTCAGTACACGTATACTATGTTACTTCAATACACGAATTTAATTTTCATTTAATTAAATTATATTATTGAATATATCATTTGATCAAATTAATTACTTGATGTAAATGACCAAATATCAGAATTGACGAACATACACCATTGATGACTTGATTTGTATTTAGCTACAACAAATAACAAACACTGATTTTGTTTGGATATTGAATTGCCATGGCAACATTTAATCAAAATTCATTCAAACAACAACTGTTACAACAACAGTACACAACCAAAATATTTGTCAATCAATAAAATTTTTGATGGCGATTGAACTAATCACTGTATCACTGTAACCATATTGTCCTGAAAATTGTTTGGACAAATATTGTGAAATTAATTGTACAAATTTTAAAACTGCACATTAGCGCGTCACTGTTTTTATATATCCTGTGATATTTTCCTTGATGGAACATGTTCTTTGTTGATCCGCCGTTTGCATGTTCTTTCGACTATTATATTATTTGTTCGTGCGTATATTCTGATATGAATGTTCTTGTGTGTGTTTGTGCTGTATTTCTGTCATGTAGTGTTAAACGATATTTTGTAACATTGTCATAAAACGGAAAGTTTGGCTAGCCATTAAACCAGGTTCAACCGAACATTTGTTTCTTAAAATGTTTTGTACCAAGTCAGGAATATGGCAGTTGTTTTCAAATAGTTCGTTTCTATGTGTATTGGCGTTGGTTTTTTGTTGCACTTCGGTGTACTTGTTGTTTCTTTGTTATCCTCTTATAATTGACGTGTTTCCCTCTGTTTTGGTTTGTAACCGGATTTGTTTTCTCTCAATTAATTGATGACTTTTGATTACTGGTATACTACTGTTGCCTTTATTTAAAGTCAGTATGAAAGGTATTTTTACTCATAAACAGTTAACCGTATAACCCTAGAATGTTTTTATTTGAGGCCCCTAGGTCCTAAGTTAGAAAATGAAGTCAAGGTCAAAGGTCAAGGTCAAGTTCTCAATTTTGATATTTCCTTGTTTTTGCACTTCTCCAACATTTTTAAATATATCTATAAAAAAACAAGTGCAAAATGTTTGCTTAATTGTAATGAAGATATGTAACTTTTGGTCTGGAACAATCTAATAGCATCTAATAGGAGTTAGTGCCCCTCAAATGTGCAATTATAAGGTTAATTGATTATTACTTCAACATGGTTCATTATAAAGCCATATGACCTTTTACAAAAGGTTGGATGAAATATGACCTTGAAAATTGACTACCGGAAGTGACCTTGAGAAAACCGGAAGTAGCCATTTTTTGCACTTTTTTCATGGAAAAGAACAAGAAATCCATATATTTTGTAATTTAGATACATTAACTTATCACTTAAGTCAAGAAGTGACTTCTGATAAACCGGAAGTGGCCAATTATCTCCTTGTTTACAGGCAAAAGTATATATAAACTATATATTTTTGGAATCAGTGTGAAAGAAGCTATCATATGAGACCGGAAGTGACATTTACTTCACCGGAAGTAGCACATTATCTCCCTTATTTCACTCAAAAGTATATAGAAACCTCTTATTTATCGTATCAGTATGAAGAAACGTATGATGGGATGCCAATTGTAACTTTGAGTAAACAGGAATTAGATATTTTTCAAGAACTTTGAAAATTGAGGTGGAAAGACCTTCAATTGTTCTCTGAACAATTGGTTTTTAATTATTATTAGGTCTTTCCACTTTTCTGTGGAAAGACCTATTGGTTTTCTTCCGATTATTTTTTTTTTTCTTCCGCCTAATTTTGTTCTTGCGATAAATATTTGTTTCACAATATGTCGCTTAGATATTTGGTAAATGATATCGAACAGTTTATGCGCCTTTGAAATTTACCCTGCGTAACCAAATGATTTTCTTTGTAGGAGTTATCTCCCCGAACACTGTTTTCCTTGTGCACGCATCTCCTCCGTAACCGTAAAAGAAACCGACAAATTTATTTTACCAAATTGCTCGTTATATCCTCAGGATGTTTTGTCCAATTTTGACCGAAGCGATACGCAAACTCCATATGAGAGTTATTTCCCCTTCTGTATTTGACATAAGGGATATATAAATGTATAGCATGAATAGTAAGTGATAGAGACCTAAGGTATATTGATTTGAGTTCCTTGGTTCATTTAAATG